TATATATATATATATATTTGGTGCAGGGTCTTACTACACAGCTTGGACTAATATGATCATCCTGTGTTCAGCCTGCCAGCTCTGGGATTATAGGCGTGCGCCACCATGCCCAGACTCCCACTCAGTGTGTCCCGAAGGCGGGGCTAGCGCAGCATGCAGAGCCAGGGATCAAACCCTGGTCTCTATGCTTGCCAAAGCAGGTGCTTAGTCAACTGAGCTATCTTGCTGGCCTTAGTTTATATCTCTAAAATGAGAAATATTCTGAAAAATATAGTCTATAAGAGGCAATATACCACAATACACAAGACCTATTTCACTTTTGTGTTTCTCACACTTGGCGAATAGCTATGTACACCAGCTATGTGTGAGATGGATTTAGGCAGCTGAAGGTAACGAAGTAGGCAATACCTGGTCCTACACACCAGGCTTATCAGCAGCAGAGAAGAGCCAGACCCACATGTAAATCATTCTACTGCTAGGAACACTGAAAAATGCTGTAAGTAAGGCATGCAACAGTGCTTGTAAAAGGAAATAACACTTTTATCTATGGATCTTCACACAAGTCTGTTTGCAAGTAGAGAATCGAGTCTGTCCTCAAACAATGGATGGATGTGAGTTAGAGTCCATCACCTGTTATTAAGCATTTTTATACCTACTATTCATAGATAAGAACCATTTTTAATTTTTCCTTTCAACAATCTGCAAACACTGAGTTTTTTTTTTTTTTTTAATTTTGTGGGTAAGGAATTTGTATGCAGAGGAATGGAAATAATCATAGAACAGCAGCTTACAAATGGCAGAGAGGGAAAGTAGTCCTGGCTTATTCTCTATACTAACAATAATTCAAATATTCAATGTGTCAAAGACACACAGGCAATCAGAGGTTGAAAACTGGCACTTTCCTTAGAAATGTATCCCAGGAAATAGGCAAAGAAATGGGTTACTTAGGTGTGGCATGGTGATGTTTATGACACAGTGATGTGACTGTCAGACCTGATAGAAGAAAGAACAAGGAGTTAGGCTGGCCACAGGAGAAGGCACCGTACAGGCGGCAGATCCACATGTGTGACACGATAATTATGTGAAATATAGGAGACTAATGAAAACGCAGCAGGAAAAACGAGATTGGTATAGTGATTAGTTGGTTGGAAAAGGCATTAATAACCAGAGTACAGAAGAAATGGCACATCATGTGGGTCTGTCATAAAATGGGTAACTTTGGGAGAAATACATTTTCATTTAGCCCCAGAGGACAAAAAGCTAAAGATCAAAGTTGGATCATATTCAGTTTTTAGTGAGGTCTCTTTTCCT